GTCTCCCGAGCACCGCCCAGCCCGCTTGGGGCAGGCTCTCAGCAGGGAGGCCCCGTGCTTTGTTCTGTCCCCCTTCCTCCCAAAAAGCAGTTTATCTGGTAGGCTGGAGAATTCTAAGGTGGAGAGCACAGGGATCCGAGACCCTGCCTCCCCTTTTTTCTGCCAAGATTTCTGAAGGAAGGAAGATGGCAGTGTAGGCCTGGGCAGCAGCGTGACGTCCTTCTCTCTCCTGTGAAATGGGGGTAACTACACCACCCCAACTGTCACCTCCCCCCCAGGGTCAGGAGGACAGAGCTCCTCCAACCTCAGATCAGGAGGGATCAGGGGAATTTGCTGTTGTGCTCCCGCGACAAGGACAGTTACTGTTATCGTGCCTTGGTAACAAATTCCCTCTGTAAAAGCTTGCAAAAACACTTTACATATACACCTTATATCCTCTGAAACTCTGAATGTAGGTGCTATTGTTATCCCCATTTTACACGGGAGGAAACCGAGGTTAAGAGGAATTCAATGACCTGATGAGGGTCACATGCCTCATTAAACACCTGAGGCACAGTTTGACTCAGGCCTCCCCCAATCCAAGCCCAAGGTTCTAATAAGGGTTTACAAAGCACTGCACTTCTATTAACCTACTAACCTTCACCACTCTATGAAGCTGATACGGGCATTGTCCCCATTTTACCAAGGAGGAAACAGAGTCTGAGAGATGGGAAGGGTCTGAGAGAAGGGTCTTCCTGACTCCAGGGCCCGCTCCAGCTTAGCTTTAGCAGGTGGAAGGAAACACAGACGCTATCTAGTCCCATCACCCCCTTTTACAGATGAGGAAACTGAGCCGCAGAGGTCCCATAGCTAGCAGGTGGGGAGCCAGGATGCTCTCGATCCCCCAGCCTCTCCCCTGGCAGGCAGGGGCTCATGCATCCTCCCTACCACAGCAGCTGCTAACATGAGCCTGGCCCCTGACTGGGACGGCACTTGGATGTAATCAGAAGATCTAATGACTCCTGCAAAACAGAAACAGGAGCGGCGCCTTCGTCCCGTTGCCATGCTCCCGTCAGCGGCACTGCCACCATCTGGTGCCCCCTGCCTCCCCCATCACGCGGGGAGCTTCCTGAGAGCAGGCACTGGGTTCTTTCACCTTCTTTGTAACCACATCACTTAGAACTGTGCCTGGCACACAGTAGGCACTTAATAAATGCTTGATGAAGCGTTACAGAAATTCCACAGGAACATTCCTATTTGGTTACAAAAACCAGAGGCAAAGTTGTCATTTCTGGGGCCTGAGCTAAGCTTCAGTCCCTCACTTCCCTGAATCTCGGTGGCTTTGCAGGTCCCTTCCAGAGCCAACAGGATGCGTCCACCCCAACTCTAACATGATGGCTTCAGACCCCTTTGGATTAATAAGCCCTTCACCACTCAAGGCTGCCTGGGGCGGTGGAAACTGGGCCATCGTTATCCCAGGGGTTCTAGAGGATTCACAGCCTCGACAGGGTTTGCCCATCTCCTCTCTCTCATCTCCAGTCCGTCCTCCGTGCCAGAGCCCTCCCTCCCCTACATAGGGAGCCTGGCCATATTATAACCTTTCTCCCATCGGTGAGGCTCCAAAAACCCCAAGGGAGGGCAGACCAGGGAGCTGTCTTACTCAGCGATGTTTGAAAGGAGAGGCGCCTGGCATTTCCAGGTGACAAGTTTTTTAAACTGACATTTCTGTAGCAGTTTATGATTTACAAAGTCCACAAGAACCCTGGGAGGCAGCCAATGCAGCCGTTCCAGCCACTTGACAGAGAAGTAAACTGAGGACCAGAACCGCCACGTGGCCATGTCCTGCAGGTGGCCCAAGGCTCTCAAAGGCGATGCCAGCCAAGGGCAGCCTCTGGGGACCCTCCTGACTGCTCTGGCTGCCATGACCAGAAAGACTCCTGACTTCCCAGGCACCCTTTGGCGACAAACCCTTCCCCACAAACTTGGGCTGCTCCACAGGAGGCTGGTACGTCACTGATCCCATCCATTTGTCTGAGCATGGCTCTTCCAAGGTTCTAGTGCCAGAGTACAACTAGCCGTGACTCCACCAAACATCGTCAAAATACGGAGTTGGGTATGGAGACCCCACCGAGGTTGGCACAAAGGCCCCCATCGGTGTTTTGCCATGATGCCTGGGTGCCTATGCCCTACACTGATGCAGATACAGACACACCCAGAGACTCCAGTTGCGATGCCAGTTTTGACACTAGCTCTGAAGCCTTGGGCAAGTCCTTTTGGCTCACTGGTCCTCAGTTTCCCCCTCTGTAAAAGGAAGGGATGGCACTTGATAGCTTCCAAGGTCCCGCTGAGCTCCAACATTCTATGCAATCACTCTTGCTTTCATCTCGGCTGAAGAGGTGACCCTTCTCCTGGCCAGGGCCACTTCTGCTACCCGTGCTTTCATCCCACACCGTCCTCTGGGAGCTGCGATCACTCTGCTGCTCCTCCCCATCTTCAGTTTCTCCCTGTACACTGGCTTTTTCCCCCCCGCTACCTGCAAACAAACCAGGCTTCCCTCATTCTGAAAATACTTTGTGGAACTCAGCCATTCCCTCCAGTTAAAGTCCTGTACTTGAGTTCAGTTCAAGTTTCCCCTCAGGGGGCAGCTAGGTGGCGCAGTGGATAGAGCTCCCGCCCTGAAGTCAGGAGGACCTGAGTTCAAATCCGGCCTCAGACTAAACACTTGACGCTTTCTAGCTGTGTGACCCTGGGCAAGTCACTTAACCCCAATTGCCTAAAAAAGAAAAAATAAATAAAAAATCCCATTCCCTAAAGTTTCTTCTCAGCAGGCTCCTAAACCTATCCATCCATTGCTGAGCTTCGGTCCTGCTGACCATCAGCCCCTGGAGGTCCCCTAGCATCTCCAACTCAACATGCTCACTCTAGAACCCAATGGATCTCCCTCCAAGCCCACACCTCCTCCCAACGTCCTTACTCCACTGGAGACACCACCACCCTACAAGGCACCAGGTTGGGTTGGGTGGGATGGCCATCGAGGCCCCATTTAATTCTTCTGTTCTGAGCTGTCCTTGAAGCCTTCCTCTTCCTCCCTCCCCTAAACCAATCACGCACTGAGTGTCATCCTTTCTGTTACACAACATCTCCCCCATCCATCCCCTTCTCTGTGGCCACAGACTCAAACGTGGCTCCAGTCCTCAGCACCCAAGAGCCTGCTCACGGCTTCAGCTGCTTCCAGGCTCTGCCCTCTCCAATCACCTTCCACAAAGCCACGAGGTGGACTCCTCCAACCTCGACCCGACCGTGGCTCAGATCTGACTCGCCTGCGTCTCAGCCTTCGGTGGTTCTGGATCCCAAAAGACAAATCTCTTAGCACGCCACCTCACGCCTCCCCAGGATCCTTTCAAGCTGCCCCACCTTTGCCCTGTGGCCCTCACGGGCACTGTCTCTCAGGTCAGGAAGGCCTGGGCTCCAGTCCCACCTCTGAGCCAGACCCTGGGAAAACCACTTAGGCTCATCTGTTTCTGAAATGGTACCTCCCTCCCATGGACGGAGGAGAGAGAGGAGGGCAGAGTGACCGCTGTGTCGAGTCCTTTGGCCCCTGAGGGAAGATCCAGGAGCAATGGGGGGTCAAGTGAAAGATCAGCAAAAGGAAAAACCTCCTACCAATTCGCACTGGCAGCTAGAGGCAGCTGACAGAGCCCTGGGCCCAGAACCAGGGAGATTGGACGTCAAATCCAGCCTCGGATACTTGAGCCGTGGGACTCTGGGCGGGTCAGGTCACCTGTCTGCCTCAGTTTCCTCATCTGTGAAATGAGGATAATAAAAGCACCCACTGTGCTGTGGCCGCTGTGAGGACTACAGGATACTCTTTGTTAAAAAGCACTTAGCCTGTGCCTGGCACACAGTAGGCACAATATCGATGCTTATTCCCTTTCTTTCCCTTTATGATTCAAAAGTGGAAGGTGTCACCACTAGGAAGGGATTCCCCGGAGGACTTTCACCAAAAGCTGTGGAGAGGCTCCTGGTTCAGGGATACTCTGTGATCATTGGGTGCATAAAGGGAGATATTGCCTCGGGCCTCAGTGGGTCAAAGGTGATGGAACAAGGCTAGGAATTACCAAGACACAGGACTGAGTCTGAACAGAAGAAGTGCCTGGCCTGTAACACCTGCTCCTTCCATGGAGCCCCTGGGATGGGCCAGAGCTCTGGCTCTCTCCTGCCATCTTGTTTTCTGGAAGGCAGAACAATGGGGAGCACCATGCATCCCCACCTTCCCCAAGGGCAGTAGCAGACCCAAGGCTGGTCTGATAGGTGGACAGAAGAACAACCAGCACCCCATTCCTTCTTCTCCCTCTCTCTACCAGGGTCTGGAAAGTCTGTGTGATCTGGCACCAAGGTGGTGTACCAAGGTGGCTGAGCCTCAACCAGGCCCAAGAGGAGCACCTCTTGCCATCCTCCTTCGGCAACAACTATGTGCCTTATGTTCCGGGGAATATAGGCCAGGTACTCTATGGTTATTATGCAGGAATCATTCTTGATAGATTTATAGGTTTTGACTGAGTTAGGAAGTTGCCCTGATGGTTTGTGTATTTGCTAGTCTCCATTAAACAGCCGAACAAAATCATGTGTGTTTATTGCATGGGGTTCAGCCGGCAGAATGCTTGGCAGGGAGTGCCGGCCCTCCCCAGGTCTGGAGTTCTGCAGCCTCGTTAGCAGAACTCACCACCACATCTGTCCCCTCAAAGCCACTTCCTTACCTTTAATTACTGGGAAAACAAGATACAAAAATAAGTAGAGCAGGTTCTACGGTGGCGGCGGCTCCGAAGCCTGGCCTCTCTGTGCCTCTCTATTGTCCCAATAATCCTCCACGGCTCCAGGGGGGCACCGACGCACATGAGGCGCATGTTCTAATTACCTGAGGCCTGAGAGGGTCAGCAGTCTAAGAAACGGCGGTGTACCGGCGAGATCTCCATGGCGGTGAAAGGGCCCCTGTGCATGACGGTGAGCTCAGTGGTACGTACCTGGGACACAGCCTCGATCTGCTCCAGTGCCAGGGCTTGGAGAGCGGCATCCTGGCTTTCCACCAGCAGCTTCAGGGCCGGGAGTAGGAGGGATTGGCTAAGCAGCAGCACGGCCAGCTCCTTCACACACTGAAATCAGAAGCACAAAGCCTGCTGTGAGATTCGGGAGGCATCAGAGGTAACAAGGGGGCCGGGAGAGACTCAAAGTCTAAGGCCAAGACCCCCTGATGTCCACTGTAAGAATGATCACTATGGAGGCTCGTGGGCTGCAGTGAGACACTGGCCCTTGGCTATAACCATTAGTTTGGATCTGTGAAGAACCCGGCCTGGGGGCGGGGGGGGGGACACTTGGGCCCAAGGCTCCACTCTGCTGTTGACCAGCCGGGTCACCTGCCCTGCACCTCAGTCTCCTCCTCTGTAAAGGGGTGGCATCCATGGCGGGCACTTCCGATGGGGGAGCTCACAGGAAGTGCAGGCAGGTATAACCTAGACCGGCCAGTGTAAGCAGCACCGTCTCCAGGGAAATGCTGGGCTGTTTCACTTTCTAGGCAGAACATCTCCACGCTGGGACTTGTCTGGACTGAAGCCAGGTCAGGGGAGACTCTTGGGATGGGGAGCTCGGAGACCAGAAGCCGGGGCAGAACGGCACTGCCATCTTCAACATCAGAAGGCTGGGTCACGCAGACCAAGGGCCATGGCCGGTCCACTCGCCTCAAGACCAGGAATGGGGGATTTTACAGGGAAGAGACTTTCCACTCAGTATGGGGGTGGAGGGAGGGGAGGGACGAGGTGCCAAAAGCACTTTGGGAACCTTGAAGCACCATTTACATAGAAGTCAGCTATCCTCCTCATCATTATTATTGGCCTGGAAAAAGAATTCCACTCATTGACGGTGTCTGAGCAGAGGCAGAACGACCACTCCTCTGGGACGCTGCAGAAAACCAGTGTGGGTCTAGAGAGACCTCGGGACGCGGATTCGAGTTACCAACGACCTCAGAGGTCCTCATATATGAGAGGAAACTGAGGCCCAGAGACATCTGTGACTTCCTTCCCCGAGGTCACATCAGCAGGAAGTAAGGGCAGAACCGGGGTCCAAGGGCTCCAAATTCCTCACCCTTCCGTGGCACACTTTCAGTAAGTGTCTCCGAGGTGCCCGGCACCGTGTGAGAAACACAACACATCCTGCCTTCAAGAGGTTTCTGTTCCGCTGAGAGGGCTCAACCACACAGACCAGAGGCACTCATTCCCACCCCAGAGGCTCATCCGGTGGTACCGCTGAGGCAAACATCAAACAGGTAACAAACTGCACCCCAAAACGCTTCCCAACCAGATTCGCAGAAACAATTGTGACCATTTGCCTGAAATAAATTCTAAGTACCTTAAAACAGGGCTCGTAGCTGACATCGATATCTCCCAGGGCCTGGCCCGAGCTAACAGGGCTTACACAAGGTCAGGCATACAGAAAACACTGAATGAAGGAATGAATAAAGGGGGGAAGGAGGGAACTGGGCAGGCCTCTGCCACTCACACCCACTCCCCAAGGAGACAGCTGAACCCTGGCTCCACATGGACTTGGACAAGTCACTGTCCATGCCTGAGCCTCCTTGTCCCGTCTGGAATAGTATTCATACGACCTGTCTCACAAGATGATTGGGAGAAAAGCCCCCAGCGGTGGGTGTTTTTGTATTCACAGTGCCTAGCAAAGTGCCTAAGCATTCATTAAGTACTTCCTAGTGCCTGGCCCAGTGCCAAAAGTGCTGGGATATAAAGAAAGACAAAACCCACCCCTGCCCTCAGGGAGCCCCTATCTAATGTAGAGACCACCTGAAAACACATGGGTGCAAACAAGATAGATTCAGGACAGAGGCAAGGTCACAGGGAGCAGGGAACACTCGACTTCCACAAAAGGTGAGACGAAGCCGGGGAAGTCCGGGGGGAAGGAAGGAGAGAGCTCCAGCATGGGGGATAGCCAGGACAAAGGCCTGGAGGAGGAGAAAGCAAAGCCAGAAAAAGAGAGAGCCGAGATCTGGGACACACCACCACCACCAAATCCTAGAAAACAGGCTACAACAAGCCCTGATGAGAAAGTAGAAAAAAATGTCCCTGGGAGCCCTATCTCCAGCCCAGGTCAGCCCAGGGAGACAGAAGGAGAGGTCTGGGGAAGCTGGAGGCAGGACTGGCCAGCCGAGGTCCACAGAGCCTTCCAGCCTGTAGCAGCAGAAGAGAAGCAAGGCTGCGCACCAGGGCAGGAAAGGGCCTCAGGACCACGGGGGCCCCGGCTCGGGAAGACCACAGTGAGAGGGCCAGCTGGGGGCTCGACATTCACTCCCTAGTCCTCGGTCACAGATCCAGGTGGAGTGGGGAGGACCTGCCCCAAGGGGTGGCAGAGCAGGCAGCCCAAGGCTGACCAACCAGAGATGGCCCCTCCAGGAGCATACCGGTGCGGCCTACAGGAAGTCCAAGGTCAGGAAGTAGGCTGCAACACTGAGCCCACAAAAGAGAATCCCACCATCCCATCACGGAGAGCTAGGGCGGTTACAGGGGCACTCCAAGGCACAAACCCAGAAAAAGAGAATGACTCCAAAATATCTACAAATAAAACTTCAAAAAAGAAAGCAGCGTGGGTGGAAGCCCCACTAGAATTCCTAAGTGAGAAGAAACAAGAGTCTTTAAAAAAAGCTACAAATCATTTCTGAAAAATCAAATAAGAGCACTGGGAGAAAAAAGGGCGAGAAATTATAGCTCTGGAAAACAGAACTGACAAGAGAGTGAACAACGTGGACCTCACTCTCATCGGAGCTGGTCCAAGGAGGGGAAAACAGACGCACACAGTTGGGGACAGAAATGCATTTCAGTCAGCAGGGAAATGAGGGAGAAAGGAGAAGACAGAATTAAAGGGAGGGACTAATCCAAAGCAGAACAAACCCTCCCGGTGTGCGGAAACAGCAGGTCTTTCTGCAGTGGCACAGATTTGGGCGTGGTGGGGTTGCCACTCAGTCGGAGAATGACTCAACAAGCTAGTGTCGAGCTGTAATGGGATACTGCTGTGTTGTAAGAAACGAGGAAGGGGATGGTTTCAGAGAAATCTGGGAGGACTGAAGTGAACGGATGCAGGGCCAAGGAAAATCAGAAGAACAAGTTCTATGACAGCAATAGATAGTGTAAATACAAATGACTCTGCAGAGCTCGGGAGCTCTGCTCAGCGTCATGAGCAACTGTGACTCCCGAGGACTCAATGAAAAATGCCGCCCATCTCCTGACAGAGAAACGAAGGACACACAATTCAGAGGGACGCTTTTTTTTTTTGGATGTGACCAATGTGGCAATTTGTTTTGCTGAAGTATATGTGTTTATAACTGGAGTTGTTTTTCTTTCTGTCACGTAGGGATCAAGGGGAAGTGGGAGAGAGTAAGGCAGATTTCTGCTGATTAAAAAAATAAAACTGCATTTTTAAAAATTACTGGTAACCAGTGAGTTGGTAACATGTTGGCAATGTGGCAGGTGCTTACTAAATGCATAGCTTATTGACTGACACACTGCAAGGTCCTTCCCAGGTCTGACTGTGCACGCTGGAAAGGTCTGGCCCGTCCGTGAACACTGAGGCACTGCTCAGACCCAGGTGATGGCCACACGTCCTCCGGTGACAGGGCTCGGCCCCTGACACCACCTGTACCAGTTTCTGTCTGGCTGGGACAGGCTGATGGCCAAAGCTGCTGATGCTACCTCCCAGCAGCCTACACCGGGACCTCCCTGCACCACTGGGCACAGGGGTTCACATTCCCATGAGAGAGGCTCAGATGGCTCAGAGCCGAGGCTAGGGGTCCTTCTCCCTCTCCACGGGCAGAGGGCCTGTACACAGAGTCAGGAGCCAGCCTGGGCCTGCAGCTGAGCCACCCAGTGCTCGCTTGGGGCAGGGAAGGTTCCAAGAGCAGGCCGGGAATCCTGGACAGCTCTGGGTCTCCTGAGAAAGCAGCAAGGGCCTCTATTCTCTTTGGCTTCTCCAGCAGAATCCTGCTCCATCACCGCTGACCAGGGGAATATTAAAGCAGGTGAAACAATGCAAAGAAGGACATTTGTTATTCCATCAGGGTCCTTGTTTCTGGGGAGGTTTTTCACATTGCCATGGATACGAGCTGAGCAGAAGGAAGAATTCATCTCCAACCTGTGTGAAGAGCAATCGGAGGGAGCTGGGGAAGAAGCCATCCCAGCCAGAGGCGACCACAGGCCACACCAGAAGCCGACGGCGCTCATCGGGAGGGGAGGGGTGCTCTGCAACCGATGGCATTTATGGGGGAGGGGAACCAATGTGGCGGGGGAAGAGGCAAAAGGAGAAGGAAAGGAGTCCAGAGCTCTTTCAGAAAGAATTAGGAACGGGCCGCATTTCAGAAACTAAGGACAAAACACATATATGCCTTTCGGTCAAAGAATGAAGACTCGGACCATTTCATGACTAAGGTGGTTCAAAACAGGACAGAACACGGCCAGTTCAGTAGCTTGCCTTGTGCAGTAGACCTTCGGAGATGCTTCTCCCTTTCTAATGACAATGTGCCACGCTGTGAGTCACCTTCCCATTCATACCCCTCTGTTCACACACAAGGATCCCACACCATAAGGAGGATGGGAGCCAGCTATACTGAGTGCTCCCACCTCAAAGACAGAGAGACTGAAGCAAGGAAAGTGAAGGTCATTTAAACGCTAAACTATCCTTCCAATAATGGCACAAATATAGGATAAGGCCTGTATGTAGGACAAGGCAGAGAATCAAATGCAAACCCCAGCTCTGCCCCCAGCATTGATTAAGTACCTACTATGTGCCAGGCACTAAGGGTACAATGACAAAATGAAAGCTTTCAAAGAGTTTGCAAAGCACGTCATAGATAGATAAATAGTTGGATGAATGGATGGATGGAGGGATAGATGGATAGATAGATAGACAGACAAACAGAAAGACAGACAGACAGATAGATGGGTGATGGATGGATGGGTAGACAGGTGGATAGATGGATAGACAGACAGAGATAGTTAGATGGATGGATGGATGGATAGATTGACGGATAGATGGATGAATAGACAGAGACAGACAGAGATAGAAGAATGGATGGATGGATGGATAGACAGACAGACGGATAGCTAGACAGATGGGTGGATGGATGGATGGATGAGAAGGTAGATATTTGATAGATGGATAGATCCTCTTTGGGAAAGCTCGACATGGGCTGTGGCTTTCACTCACAGCTCTGCTCATCCCTCCCCCACATGACAGTCATTCAAACACCTGAAGACAGCTGTAGCCACACCATTCCTCTCCTCCGTCAGTTCAGAAACTCCGTCCCATGCGCGGTTCTTGGAGAAGCCATGCTGGCTCTTTGAAATCCCCACTTCCTCTTCTAGGAGCTCACGAACACCCTTAATGATCTATTCTGGAATCTTTGCAGGATTCCAAGTCAAGCCCACTGGCCTATAATTTCAAGACTGTTCTCTTTCCATTTTTAAAAACTGGGACAACATTTGCCCTCTCCAATTCTGTGTACCTCCCCTATTTCCACAGTCTTTCAAATATCATTGGCAGAGGCTCAGCCACCCCATCTGCCAGTGGCTTTGAGACCGACGACGTGGCCCATTTGGGCCAGGAGTCTTCGGCTCATCTAGGGCAGCTTGGCATTCTGCTACTTATTCGATTATCGACTCCCTGCTGGTCATTTTTGTTCTGTCACTTGCAGTCGAAAGGTGATTCTCCTTGGCAGAGAAAATAGAAACAAGATAAGAACTGAGCAGCTCTGGCTTCTCTCTGCGGTTGGTGATCATTGTTCCCCCTGCTTTGCAGTATAATTTGAAACGTGGGGCTGGTAGGCCCCTTTGCAACTTTTTTCCCCATTATTTCCTTTGAGAGGACTGGACTTCCCTTTTGCTCCTCCAAATGCATTTGTTGTTATTATGTCTGATTTTATAAAATAATTCTTTGTTGGTTTGATTGGAATGGCACTGAATCTATCACTTAATTAAGGTAATTCTTTTCACTATGTGAACCTAGCCCAACAATGAGCAATGGGGATCTCCCCAGTTACCGAAGTCTTCCATTGTGTCTGCAAAATGTGCTCTCCAGTTTTATTCCTAGAATTCCTCTGTTTTGGCGAGAGGATTCATATCTTGTTTGTTGGTGACTCCCTGTGCGTCCACAATGGTCTCTTCCGAGAAATCCAATTTTTTTTCCTCCTCATTGGAACTATTTCCCTTTGTTTCTTCAGAATTTTACTCTTCAGCATCTTCCACCCCTCCTGGGATACTCCCTATCTTTGCTCTGACCCCTCTGACCCCTCTTTTCCGACATCTAGATGCGTGTCGGACCACACTCAGATTTCTTCTCTTTCACTACTAATCTAGGAGGGAGGGGGCATCTCCACGCCTCTGCCCCGACCAAGATGCCATCACTCCCCTCTCCTTAGCAGGAATGGGATCCAGCCCTACCACGCCTAAATCACAGGGCCACACTAAGGATCAAGAACTTCCACTTACTGAAGAATGATATCCTGAGCAAGGCAAGTTGAGAAGTTACCGGTCACTCTGGTTTCAGCAGAGAGAGAGCTCCAGCTGGTGTCTAAGAGCAGGAGCGGTAGTAGCAGCTTTTTACAGAGCTTGTATGACATGTGGGATCCTCACAACAACCCCGTGGGGTAGGTGCTAGTAAGAGCCTCATTTTACAGCTGAGGACACTGAGGCAGGTGACTTGAGCAGGGCCCCACAGCTTGTCAGTGTCCGAGCTGGATGTGAACCTTGGCCTTCTTCACTCTAGGCCCTGTGGTGCCTCCTTGATGTCCAGTCCGTCCACTACAATAACCTGCTGGTGGGCCAGGACGGGCGTTTCCCAAACTCTGCTATTTCGGTCAGTCACATGCTCCGGTGACAAAAGCACTTGTTTCTGTCTCTGGTGCCCCTCACCCAGTCCTCATCATGCTGCCCCCTCTGATGCGGGCTCCTCCCACGAGTCCCTCTGCCTAGCCTCCCATGCCAACGCCCCTCCCCCTTTCCTCTCTCTCTGGCCCAAGGGAGGCTCCTCCCCAGCCACACCCAGTCACTGGTGCCATGCCACCAAGCATCCATGGCTTCTCCCCAACAAGAAGGGTTTTGTTTGTAGCTGTGCTGTGATTCTTGCTGTCCTGGTGCTCCCACGATTCGAATCCAGGGCTCTCATGGGCTACAGAGCCCCAGGACTGTAATGTAAAATGGGAGGAGTAAGCCCTCCCATGCCTAAATCACAGGGCTGCTCTGAGGATCAAGCAACAGGATAAGTAAGTGGAGGGCTTTGGAACTAAAGAATATAATCCTCTTTGACTGGATGGTCTTGTCTGAGACTCTGAGGCCTGGCTCTCCCTCCCCATCTCTCAACAACCAGTCACTATGCCTGCTTCCAACACAGCTGGGAGACCGAGGCTCAGGGCGCAAAGGCCACACCCACTCTAGAAAGTCATAAAGCATCACTGACAACGCATGGCACTTTCTCATGTTCTTCCAGGAACAGGGACGCCATGCCGAAGGCCTCCACAGGAGAGAGATCCACAGCCACACCAAAGGACGTGGCCTAACTCTGGATGTGGGAAAAGCCACATGGCCGGAGAGGTCTCCATCCACCATGCTGGGTGAGGAAGTCCTTTACCAGGGAAGGCTGGCCACGATGGGTGGCCTTGGAGAGCCGCCTAGGGTGCCTTACCCTGGGTCACAGGGGCAGAGAGTGGCCAAGGCCGGACTGGACCCTGGTCTTGCCAGTTCCCACAACCTGCGGCCTCTCCAACACTCTGCAGAGCTCAGAAAGATGACCAGTCAGCAGCGAGCTGGGTCTGATGTGGAACCCAAGGATGGCAGGCAGGATGGTCTCAGGGAAGGTGTACAGTTCTTTTAAATATCACAAACTTGCCCCCAAAACACAGGCCTGTCTGGGACAGCAGGGTTCTCCATGTCACCCAGGGGGCCGAGGAGAAGAGGCCGCAAACCGTCACCGTCCAGGCCCCACCTCGAGGTCAGCGACCGATGGACTACAGCGGGCCACGCACCCAGGGCAGAAGAAGGCCCAGCAGACTAGAAGGAGACCCTGGACAGCTCCCGTAGGAGCAGCCATCACCACAGGCCACAAGGTGCATCGTGGGAAGGTCACTCACATCAGCAAGATGACAGATGCTCCGAGAAGCTGGAATACGACGCTCCCTCCGTGCATGCCGACCGCTAACCCTTGCAATGCAGCACAAGGTCTTCAAGAACCAGCATGGCCCAGAGTGCAGCGTTCTGTGACGGCATGGCGCCATGTGCTGCTGCCCTGGTAGCGAGCACCTCGGGCCCCAGGCCTTCCCAGTTCACAGCCGCCTTGCAGGCCTTGGCCAGATCCGCGAGGGTCACCCCGGACCTTGCCTTTCACCGACTGACACCTGGTGCTTGCTGTCCTTTCAAATGTTTCAAAGAATGGCTCTATCACGCCAGCACGAGGAAGCTTGGTTTAAAAGACAAACGGCCTCCCTCAAAATGCAGTCGACAAACACTTCTCGGGTCCCTTCCTCAGCCGCCTATTCACGAAGTGCGCATTTTTAATCAGCATATTTGTGCTGCAATGGTACGCTCAGAGCCAGGATCTGAACCCTCTGAGCTCCAGAGCGCCAGACTCCTCCCGCAGCAGCTGGCAGCCGGGGCAGCTGGGCCCGGGCACCGGCTGGGCAGCCCCACCCGCTCACTCCACTCCAGTCCCTCCAGGGCTCCCGAGTCACAGACCCGAGCCAGCTCTGCCCCTCTTGCCTCTGACCACTAGGGCAGGGGCTGTCTCGTGCCTCTCTCGGAGTCCCCAGCATCCGGCACAGTGCCTGGCACACAGAAGGCGCCGAATAAATGTTTACTGATCTCCTCCTCGTCTCCCATCTCTTAGCCTGCCCTGCTGCGTCTGAGCCACCCTGCGGTCTCACCACGCTCTCCAAGCTCTCCAGCCTCCCTCACCCCTGACCCCTCACCCTCCTCTTGTCTTCCTTTCCTACCTCCAGAGTCATCTAACCAGCCTCTTCCTACTGTGCTTCGCCGGCCTGCTCTGGATACCAAGGTGCACGCCCTGACAATCACGCCCATAGTCGACCCCCAGCTGCCAAGGGAGTTACCCAACCACACCTTCTATGGTTAGAAAAGACAGAACAGTCTGTCCACAGACACTCTGAGTGTTGGACCTATCAACAAAGATACCCCATGGATGGCGTTCAGCTGAGCAGGCAGAGCCGCCACGGAGGCCCTGGACCAGACACGACTCAAGCAGGGCTGGAAGGCGGGTGCCAGAATCTTCACCAGGAAGGGGAGGGCCACGCGGGGAGGCCTGAGCTCAACCACCCCCAGGGTGAGAGGTCACTGTCGTCACTGACCACCAATAACTCCTTTGGGCTCAGTGTATGGGCCCGATCAAAACCAAAAGTCAGAAGCAAAGTGAACTGATTTTTTTTTTAGCATGCTCTATTTGGCAAGAACAAAAGCTGTGGTCATGTAAATCCCACCACAGGGTGGAGGGAGAGTTAGCGGATTCTGGGCCAGAGCTGGCCGGACGCTCCCAACACTGGCAAGGCTGGTGTCTGCCGTGGTATTCTGGGATTCGAGGGGCTGGGAGGGAAAGGCTCTGCATCAATGACCTAGGAAATGGTGAGACCACTAAGGCTGATACAGGGGGACACCTGAAAGTATCAGCTGGAAGAAAACCCATTTCCGGCCTTCTTGGGGGAGACTTCTTTCCTTAGTAAGTGAGAAATGACGGACCTTTAATAGGCAATGCTGAGCCCAGGGCCCCTGACGGGGGAGGCCCCAGGAACACGAGCGGGCACTCACCTCCAGGGGAAGGCTCTGCGGGGTGTGGTACAGAGAGCGGCAGAGCCTCAACACGTCCTGGCCCAGGGCATCCTTGTTCCCATCTGCGCACCTGGACAACATCACTGTGGCGAGCTTCATCCAGGGATTATCGGCCTCGCTGCTCCTAAGCAGAGAGAAAGGAAGGCCGGGAGTGAGCAGGAGGCATCATGGAAATGCCGGAGAGGGCAGGGATGGGTGGGCCCCCGTCTCCCTGTCACGGTCACCCTGGCTCTGCCAGAAAGTGCAGGCGCCTCCAGCCCCTCGAGGACCCCAGAACAAATGTCTAAGGCCTCCACTTCACTCCAGAGGTCAGTGGCACAACGCAAGGGGCCTTTGATGGGAGGTCAGGTGCCTCAAGATCTCAAAGCACAGGTCGAGACATTGTATCCATCTAACAAGGACAAGCCTGCCTCAAACAAGCTGCGATGACCACTAGTACTTGGCAAGTAAGAAAACTAGAGTGGAGGGTAGGTAGGTCATTTGGTCAGGCCGCGTGGTTAATGAGGAGGTGAGGCCAGATTACAGGCCTCTGAGGGCATGCCGTCCAACCCTGACTCGTCCTTGGAAGAGAAACCCCCACCTAGCCCTGCCCCCACGCCGTCATCCAGCCTTTGACGGGCAACGTCTGGTAATGTAAAACTCAGCACGTCCCGAGGCAGGCGGCCCATGCCACGAGGGAAGGAGCTCAATGTGGGGAAGTCCTTTCTTGAAAGCGTCCTATCGATTCAACTCACCGGTTCTGATTCTGTGCTTTGGTGACAGAATCAGAATCTTCCCCGTCAACATTTCAAAGAGCCCAACAAGCCCTTCTTTAGAGAAAGGGCAGGGGATGGCTCAATGCCAGACGCACTCTGGGGGCTAAGCTGGGCCCAGCGTGGGGGGCAGCCCAGAGAGAAAAGAAGAAATGTTTGGAGGGACAATGGGGCTGCCTCCAGAAAGGCCCACCAGACCCCGGCTCTTCCTGGACTCTGGATAAGCACTGACACGATTCTTGCTGGGATTAGAACCCAGACCTCTGGGCTCTGCCTCTGGCGCTCCTTCCACCTGACTGTGTGGCTTGGTTCTCAGGGAGGCCAGAGCCAGGCTCTGGGGTGCGGGCTCCCCCTCTGCCAAATGAGACAGTTGGAGCAGATGCTCTGCGATTCTCTCCTTCACAGAGCCACATTGGGCCCGTTGAGGACAGCAAGCCAGGCCCCCGTGAAGAGACATGCAATGGCTCTGGGATCATGTCAGCTGGGGAGTCTGCCCCAACAGCACCAGCAGGAGGAAGCTGCCCACGAGTGTGGCCCGTGACCCCTGGAAGCTGCTCCGGACACTCTCCATGCCCTCTGCTGCTGGGCGTGCCCTGCCCGGGGCTGCCCACTTAGAGGGGGCTCACCCTCTCCCCAAAACAGAGAGCCTCTTCTTAGAACCCGGATGAAAGGCCCAGTGGCTGGGCCCAGCAAGGGCCTTCCAACTCACACAGAACAACCAGCATTTCAGGAGAAACAAGAGCGAAAAGAGAAGCTCAGCCCTGGCTAAAGGGCAAAGGCATCAGTGAGCTCGGATTCCTAAATCAGGCCTAGAACACAGGTCTCATCTACAGCGGCTGCAGCGTTTGAGCGCTTTCTGTGAGTCAGTGCATGGCGGGGGTTCTGAGAGCCTGCTGTAATAGAACATCAGAGCTGAGGGAGGTAGGCATCCGGACAGGCAATGCGGAATGTCGGGGAAGGAGGGACCTGGGAACCTAGAACGTGGCAGCTGGGGGGGAGACCTTAGGATCCAGAACGTGGCATGTCAGCACCAAGAGGGGCTTGAGAATCTAGAACGTGGGTTGGCAACACAGGCAGGGACCCGGGAACCTAGAACATTGTATGTCACGGCTGGGAGGGACCTTAGACTCCAGAACGTGGCACCCCAATACCGAGAGGGACCTTAGAATGCAGAATGTGGCGTGCCAGCACCAAGAGGAGTCTTAGAATCTAGAACAGCACTTGTTAAAACCAGGAGGGACCTGGGAACCTAGAACATGGACCTCAGCAACAAAAGGGACTTAGAACTTAGAACATGACATGTCAGAGCTGGGAGGGGCCTCAGAACATGGCATATCAAGGCTGGGCGGGACCTTAGAACCTAGAATATTAACCATCAGTACTGGGAGGGACCTGAGAACCTAGAACGTGGCAGATCAGGGCTGGGAGGAAGCTTAAAAACCAGAACATGATTGTCAGCGCTGGCAGGGACCTCAGAACCTAGAACATGGAATATCAAGACTGGGAGGGACCTTAGAACCTAGAACATGGAATGCCAGAATTGGGAGGACCCATGGTACACAGAACAAAGAATGTTACTGCTTTCTAAAGAGAACAAGGGCTGACAGCTCGCTCTCAGTTGAACAGATGAGGAAACTGAGGCCAGGAAAGAGAAGTGACTTGCCCAGGGTCGCATAGGTAACAAGCACCTGAGCTGCAGTCTCTTGACACTAAGCCAAGGCTCCACGCCCTACACCACCCTGCTCCCCTTCTCTAAAAAACAAGATATCGAGGTGCTCCTTCTCGGTGTAAAGTACATCAGATGTGTAAAATACACCTGGCGAGGAAACAGCCTCTTCCCTTCCTGCAGGTATATACAGATTCACAGAAAGGTCTGAATTCAAATCCTCTCCCACGAGCAGGGTCCCCCTAGAGAAGTCACTGATACTGCGGCCTCAGCTGGCTCATCAGTAAAATGAGGATCTGGGCTCAATCACACCAAGGGCCATCTCTACAATGGACCACCTAATGCTCTACATACACCAGAGTGAAAAAGCAAGGCTGGACGCAGCAGCGGCTTGCTGAAGCCGGGACTGGCCCAGCCCTCCCCAGGGGCTCCAAGGGCCCTCCTGACAGCACACCAGCTCTCTGGGAGACAGGAAGGAGACGGGATCCCCGGGGGGCCTCCCCAGGGGGCTCAGCAGAATCCCTCCCCCAGCGGTTGTCCTCTTCAGAGGTAAACTCACTCTTCCCCAAAGGCTTGCGGCCTTGACGGCCACTGCCTCCTCTTCTCCCGAAGCTGTGCAGTCAAACCCGTCTGCATCCCGGCAGAAGGATGGCGCCTTGACTAACCATGCTGTTCCCTCGCCCCCCAACACCAGGCTGGCTCTTCCTGGTAACCCCATGCTGGCACTGGCCAGGCGAGAGAACAGCCTTCCCCAGCAGGTACTATTCTGCAGTCTTCATCCATGTGGAAGAAGGATTCATCTCGGGAGAACCAAGCTGATGCCTGTGCACGCGTGCAGTTAGACTGCAGGGGGCTGTGGGTAAGCTGGCATGAGGATTACGGCGTGTCCTTCAGGCTACTCAACGAGGAAAGGTGCAAAGTGAGATGGAACCAGGGAGTGAGGCTCAAATGGACACTGAGCAAATCCTTCCAAGGGTGCAGAGAGAGCTGGGCTGCTGGGGTGGGATGTCCACGGACTCCCTGCAACCCTCCAGATTACAGAGCAGCTGTCACCGGAGCCCACAGCATCACGGGGGTGGCCGAGCAGTCAGAAGGAGCTCTGGGCACCCTGCCCAGGAGCACATAGGTGCACAATGGAAATAACGGTTAGAGCTCTGGGGAATCGGGTTGCATCTGACCAGAGATCAGGTCCCTCGTGGCTCCCTGGGCTTTGGCTCCTGATCTCCCCCCACTGTCAGCCCCCGGACCACGGTGCTCTGCAAAGACCCTAGGATGAATCGGGCCTGATTTTTAAGTTTGTGCTCATTCAGCCCCTTCCTGCTCAGCACTAGACAGGAATTACTTCACCTGCACCATGTCGGGGGAGTTGCCTGGTCAGGGGGATGGGCTGGCCCTGACAAGGAGAGAGCCACCAGCCTATTGCATGTGGCAGCCGCAACCTCACGAGTCAGTCCTCGGGGCAATTGAGGTTATTGTCATCACTTTTGTGAGGGCCCCTTTCTTTATAAATATAAACCAAAAAGGGATGACTCAGAGACCAGAAGTGGGTGGCTTGCCGGCAAAGATGGCACCAGAGCCCTGCCTTTCACATCGAAACCGTCTCCAAGGAGAAATCCCTCACGCTGTCAGAAGAGGCGTTGGGCCGAGACCCGGCAAGGCTGGCGTCTACCACGCGCACCTTCTGTGACCGTGGGCCGATCACCTCAACCCACTAAGGTACCCCTTGCTAATGAGATTATTAAACGATTCCCTACTATGTCAAAGCCCTTTGGAAGCTATAGTGGGCCCCATCAATGTACATTGTTATTATTATTACTGAAATGAAAGGGTTGAATTAGATCAGCCCTAAGGTGAAGACGGCTCTGAATGACAGCTCTGAACGTTCTTATTCTAGGAGAATAATAGGAGCTTGACACAAAAAGGCCAATCACCACTGCTGCAAAACTGTGGGTAACAGATCAAACAAGGTGTTTGTTATGAGCCAGCAGGACGGCAAAAACACAATCAGCTTCACAGCGGGCCTTCAGATACTTCTGATGCGTGAGTCAAGCAGGTCAGCACCCAAGCCAGCAGCGAAAAGACAACATCACGAAAAGGTAACTTGGTAGCAAAGAGGAGGATTCAAATCCTGGCCCTGCCCCTTGCCGGCTCTGTGCCTGCGGGCAAGCCCCATCTGCGAGCTGGAGTTTCTAAACCGATAAAGATCTCTGGCCAGGGCAATGATCAATGCGCTGACAGCAAACCCATCTGCTGAGAGAGAGGCAATGGACCCAGAATGAGACATACACACGGGGCAGGGCGATTGTGGGAACGTGCTCTGGGTGACGACGCATATTCGTTCTGAGGGGTTTTTTCTTTTAAATTGGGAGGGGGGAGTAGGAGAGAAAGACAGAAAACAAATGCTTATAAACTGAAAAACAAAATGAAAATGAAGCAAAATGGAGACCAGGCTCAGAACTCACTCCTCGGGACGTCTCCGTCATGCCCGGTAATCTCCCTCTCCTGGACCATCCCGGCAGGCCAAGATTCACAGCTCAGAAGCACCTGGCCCCTGGGCTCCTCCCTCCCAGGAACCCGTTAAAGGCGAGCATTTCTTAGCAGATTTCTTCCCTGTGCCCCTGGCTGGGTCCCTCCTTCCCTCATCCATCTCCCAGCCCCATTTGTATCCCCAGCACGCAGCACAGTGCCTGGCATGCGGAAAGCGTTCACGAATAAATGCTTGTGGACCGGCCCGGCACCAGCTGCCTCACATGCAACATTGCCCCTGACGTCGTTCTGGAGCTGAGCGTTCTGATCCCACAGAGGGCTGAGAGGAAGGTTGTGCCAAGGTGCACAAGGCCCAGCTTCTAGGACCGACTCCTACTTACCAGCTGTACATCCCTGGGCAAGGGGCTTCCCTTTTCTGGGGTTCAGTTTCCTGAGCAGTTAAATGTGAGGATGCAAAGACTTACAACTCTAAAGGCCTATGCTGTGAGTTCTGATTATCAGCGCAAGTAGTTAACTTTAGTAAATGCATTTTTTGGAAAGAAATATGATTTTTGATTCGCTAGTTCTTTCAAAGACTGCAGCTTTCAAAACAAAAAACGATCTCCACACCCCATCTTTCTGGCCACACTTACCCGTGGGGGGGCCAAGCTTGCAAGAGCAAAGCCAGGTGCTGAAATTCCACCTGCTGACGACTGGCCTCCAGGAGCCCCAAAAAGAGAGTGGAGCGTCTCTCCTCATTCTCAATGTCAGCAATGGTCACCTGCGGGGGGAGAAAGGCGTGAACGCTGGAGAACAGGGCCCCGGATGCCCCTTAGCCACGGCCCAGGAGCGCCTGGGCTGCGGCCGAACCCTCCCGGTGACCCTGACGCCAGCCCCGTCTTGTCGGACCCTTGCCTCCTTCGCACCACACTCTTTGAGCCCCGGCTCCCTTCGACGCTCAGCTGAAGAGCCACCTCAGCACCCTGATGGACTCCCTCTCCAGATGCTAGTGCTCTGAGCCCCCCAAATAATTACATCTTTATTTTGTGTAATTTGTGAATTTGGAGGCAGCTATGGGAAGCAGCAGAGAGAACATCAGGCCTGGAGTTGGGGAGCCCTGAAATCCAATCCACCTCTGACACTTATCAGCACTGGGACCCTTGGGGGCAAGTCCCTTAAGCCCTTTCTGCCTCAGCTTTCTCATCTGTAAAATGGGGATACTAACACCACCTCTGGAGAAGAAAATGGCAAACCACTCCAGTATCTCTGCTAAGAACACCCCAAATGGGGCCACAGAGAGTCAGACACGACTGAGACCTCCCCCACAGGCGTGCGTGAAGATCAAACGGCCTAACACCCAGACAGGGCTCTGAGATCTTACAGTGCTACATCAGTGTAGGACATCACACCACCATGTACATACGTGTGTAGCGTGTGCATGTACGTGTGCGAGTCTGCAGGGGAACAACATGGAGTTTAATAGAAAGAAGCCTCAGGATGACCTCAGAGCATCAGGGTGGGATTCCAGCCAGGTGTCCCTGGGCAAGGACCAAACCGCTGGGGGCCTCAGTTTTCCCTTCTGAAGAACAGAGGGAGGGGACGAGATGACCTCAGAGGCCCATGCCCCCTCTATTCCCCCAGCAGCACACCAGCTTCCCCCAGGACGGCGGTGATTTCATTGGTGTCTCTGTACCCACACAGAGTTTGGCACAGTGCCCCACAGCACATGCCCTGCGGGGAGAAAAGGACTTCCCACACATTGTGTATAGAGGTCCACAGGCGCATGCATACATGCACATACATGCACACACATGTGCACAGACAGGAATAAGGACAAGGCCTGGGATTTCACTGGCATAGGGAACTCCTGGGAGAAGAAACTCTGTCTACAGGAGCAGATCTGCTCCTTCCATGAAATGCTTAGCTTGGAGAGCTGATAAGTGGCTGGCTTGCGGTCCCCCGGCCATGATATTCAGAAGGAGAAGGGAAGAAGCATTTGGAGAGCGCCTACTATGTGCCAGACGCTGTGTTAAGCAGATAGGATCTCGTCTGATCCTCACTACAACCAATCTGGGAAATGGGTGCTCATTATCCCCATTTTACAAACAAGGAAACTGAGGCAAACAGAGGTAAGCGACTTGCCCAGCATCACCGAGCCAGGAAGTATCTGAGGCTGGATCTGAACCCAGGTATCCCTGACTCCATCTTCTGCAGTCTCAAATCCTGGTCTTCCTGGCTTCAAGGCCAGCTCTTCGTCTGCTCTGACGCCTCCCCGACATCTTCTCTTTCTAGTCTTTAAACTTTATTTTTAAGAATATAGACCACATTCCCAGAGTTCGTCAGGAGTTTACCAAGTGCTCTCCTTACAACGACCCTATGAGTTAAGCAGTAAAGTACTATCTCCATTTTACAGAAGAGGAAGCTGAGACCAGAGTTTAAGTGATTCGTCACCATTGACAGGGGCTGTGGGTGCCAGGGTTGGGACCCTGCACATGGCTCTGTCTCACGCTGCCTTCCTGCATATGCCTAAGTTTCTGCAGAAATGTTTTATTGTAGTTTTTATTTTCCATTTTCTACATGTCTCCAGAGTGGCTTACAATGCTATGATAGCGTGATGGAAGATGTGTGGAGAATGAGATAAATTTAAACCAAGTGATACTGAAAATATGGATCGTTTTCCCCTTTCTTTCTTTTGTTTTTTCTGTATCCCATCACATGACAAAATGAACCAGACTAGAATTTGCATGTCTGACAGACCAGAGATGCACTTTTCCCAGATACCCAACAGTTTGATGTCTTTGCTTTTGAATTAATCTAAACAAACCACATGCATAATTCCTTTCCCAAAGCCCATTTCTATCTTCATCTCAGCTATGTCCCACCCCCCCAAACAAACAAAAGCTGGCCAGTGCATATATAGCAGCAATTATGAATATTTACTCTCTTTTCTATTATGCAAATAATCTTCAGAGGAAATACAAATAGTCTCCGGAAGCACAGGAAGATACTTATTTTTGTTTCTTGCTAAGAAAAGACAAGAATTCAAGAATGTCAGATACGGAAGACATACTAAAACCCAGACCAGAACGAGGAGCAGCAGAGACTGAATTCACCTGGTACCTAGGTTGCCTTGTATACAGTAGGTGCTTAACAAATATTGATCGAATTGAATTGAATATGGAACATGGAATGGAGAGCTTAGAACTTCAAGCAGGCATTTACAGAGTTTCTGAAGGGTCAGAAAATGCCTAGTATATCTGGTCCTCATTGGAGGCTCGTATCAACATGGTGGAGCTTCCAAAGGCTATACCTCCCAGCTCTAGGCCGTCCACATATATCATAGCTGGGATATCTAGGCCTTTATCCCAGCTTCTATTCAGTGTGAAGACAAACAGCTCTAAGGATGTGTCTGTCCCTCGTGCATTCTACTACAGACCTTATTTCTCCATTGCCATAAAACCACTGATGACAACTCTTCCAATTCAGTCACTCAGTTTTGAATATACCACCTTCCTATCCTACGGTCCAGCCCACAACTCTTTCTGCTTCCAGTGAGAGTCTGACTTTGTCCACTGCTTTGCTGAAAGCTGGATAAACTTTTTCTAAAGAAATTCCCTGGGGGCGGAGTCAAGATGGCGGAGTAAAAGCAATGATTTGCTTGAGCTCCCCCCAAACCCCTCCAAATACCTATAAAAATGGCTCTAAACAAATTCTAAAGCAGCAGAACCCACAAAAAGACAGAGTGAAACAACCAGCCCAAGACAACCTGGATGGCTGATCAAAAAGGTATATCGCGCTGGGCTGGGAGAGGAGCGCAGTTCGGCATGGGCGCGCAGGCTGTAGAGAACCTGGAGCAGACCTCACAGGACTGAATTGTGAGCAGCTGTGGTGGTTTCCAGACTTCTCAATCCACGAACGCCAAAGACAACTTAGAAGGTCAGTGGGAAAAGTCTGTTTCGACAGTGAGAGAGAAGCTAGGTCTCAGCCCCAGTTCCTGGGTATGGACCGGGGGCAGCAGCTGCTGGCCCACAGAGTGAGGGAGAATTCAGTGGCTGATCAGAGGGGGATTTCAGGGATCTCTTTGCTGGTGCAGGATTCTCTTGCTTTGCACATGCTTGGATCTGGGTCACGGTTCTGGGTGGCGGTCCTGGGGTCAGGAGGAGCGCTGGCAAGGTAGAGTTTGTAGTAGCTGTGAAGAGGAAATCCTCCTCACAGTTCCAAGACAGAAAAGAGTGCTTGTGGTCACTCAGAGACCAGAGCACAGGCCAGGAAAGCAGTAAACACCTCGCCCTTGATCATAGCACCTTGGAAGAACTGAAAATTTACAGGTCCGTAGAAGTAACTCTGAAAACAGCTGCACAAAACTCCGGCTTGGGACAGTACATTCTCCACACTGGAAACAGACCCCTACCTTAACAAAGAGTTTATAACTCAAGTAATTGGCTAAGATCATGAGCAAGCAGTGCAAAAAGAGTCAGACTATATTATCTTACTTTGGTGACAAAGAAGATCAAAACATACAACCAGAAGAAGACAACGAAGCCAAAGCTCGTACATCCAAAGCCTCCAAGAAAAATATGAATCATTCCCAGGCCATAGAAGAGCTCAAAAGGGATTTTGAGAAGCAAGTAAGAGAAGAAGAGGAAAAACTGAGAGTGATGCAAGAAAATCATGAAAAACAAGTCAACAGCTTGCTAAAGGTGATTCAAAAAAATACTGAAGAAAATGACACCTTAAAAAATAGCCTAACCCAAATGGCAAAAGAGGTCCAAAAAGTCAATGAGGAGAAGAATGCCCTCAAAAGCAAAACTGGTCAAATGGAAAAGGAAGTCCAAAAGATTACTGAAGAAAATATTTCCTTAAAAATTAGAATGGAGTAATTGGAAGCTAGTGACTTTATGAGAAATCAAGACACTGTAAAACAAATCCAAAAGAATGAAAAAATAGAAGAAAATGTGAAAAATATCTCATTGGAAAAACAAATGACCTGGAAAATAGATCCAGGAGAGAAAACTTAAAAATTATTGGACTATCTGAAAGCCATGATCAAAAAAAGAGCCTATGGGGGCCGCTAGGTGGTGCAGTGCATAGAGCACCGGCCTTGAAGTCAGGAAGACCTGAGTTCAAATCTGGCCTCAGACCAAACACTTGACACGTACTAGCTGTGTGACCTTGGGCAAGTCACTTAACTCTGATTGCCTCATCAAATAAATAAATAAATAAATGAATAAAGAGCCTAGACATCATCTTTCAAGAAATCATCAAGGAAAATTTCCCTGATATTTTAGAACCAGAGGGCAAAATACAAATGGAAAGAATCCACCGACCTCCTCCTGAAAGAGATCACCAAAGGAAAACTCCTAGGAATCTTGTAGCCACATTCCAGAGTTCCCAGGTCAAGAAGAAAATATTGCAAGCAGCCAAAAAGAAACAATTCAAGTATTGTGGAAACACAATCAGGATAACACAAGATTTAGCAGCTTCTACATTAAGGGACCACAGGGCGTGGAATATAATATTCTGGAGGGCAAAGGAGATGGGATTACAACCAAGAATCATCTACCCAGCAAAACTAAGTATAATCATTCAGGGGAAAAAATGGTCATTTAGTGAAATAGGGACTTTCAAGCATTCTTGATGAAAAGACCAGAGCTGAATAGAAAATTTGACTTTAAAATACAAGACTCAAGTGCAACATGAAGAGGTAAACAGGAAAGAGAAATCATAAGAGACTTATTAAGGTTGAACTGTTTACATTCCTGCATGGAAAGATGATGTTTG